GCGACGTGGACGTCGCACACGGCGCAGTCGATGCAGGTGTTGGTGAACTCCACGCTGTAGGTCGGCATGCCGCCGGCCATGCTCGGCCCGTTGAACTGGGAGACCTCCAGGAGGTCCTTGGAGCACTCCTCCAGCTCCAACGGCTCCGCCGAGTGACCTCCGCCGCCGTTCGATGACATGGAGGATGCATTGACGCCGAGCATCTTGCGCATCTGATTCCGAGGCGGCCGCGGCAAGGAAGATGCTGAAACTAGCAGAAACAAAACAAGTGAGCAAAAGATGCGGATGTATGCTCACGTACGTACGACATTCACTACCTTCACCGCAAGCTTGGAGCAGGAGCATGGTGACGACGACCAAAGCCGCAGCGCTTGAAGAACACGAAAACACGCCATGGAGCCTGCGTGGTCTAGCTCTGAGGCTGATCTAACCCTTCTCAGTCGCTGCTACCTTGACTTGCCCTGCACCGGGCGTTGGTACTTATAGTACGAGCAAGTTTCCTTGGTAAACTAAACGCCAGCGCACCATAATTTACTGATGGCTTGGGAAACGAAGCTAGCTAGCTAGGCTGATGCTTTGGGTCGAACACCGTGGAGTTAATAACCTGGACGTGCCCACGGCGAGCCAATGCATGCATTGCGCCGGCGCCACCGTGGAGTTAATAACCGAGGCATCCGCTACGGCCAGCCAATGCATGCATTGCGCCGACGCGGCGGCGCTGGCCATTTCAACGGTCGGCCTCTCGTGCATACGCGCGAGAGACTTGATTGATGGTTGTTAGTTGGTGGCCTCGATCTCCACGTTCACGATGCACACGCGCCCACTGCTAAATTACTAGCACTACTAGCTGCTGTACCGTGTTGGAATAAGCCACGGCGTCTGGTGCGGTCAGGCTTATCGGTCGCATCCGCTACGCGCAGAACGTGCGGGACGCAGCGGAAGCATGACGAGTGTGCGTACTGGTGGAACTGGGCACCGGTTCGTGGAGTAGGGGCCATTGGAAGCAGCCGCGTCGTGCGTGTGGCCGGGCTGAGCGGATCGTGCGTGCATGGGTGCATGCAAGGTAGTGGGTTAGTTGGATTAGTAGGGGTTAGCAGCCGAGTGTGACGGCTGGCCTTGTGTACTGGTATTTAAGGTGATGAGATGAATGAGAAAGTGTGGCCGTGAGGGCTGGATAAAATAATGTAGTCTTTGTGCTCATCAAGGGAGACTGTTCTGGGCAAAGCCGATGGCCTTCTTCTCGGACGCAGCTCCTCTGATGTACGGCGCACTCGCTGACGTGTGGACCCGAACCCATGCGTCAGTGGCCCAACGTCAGGTGGCCGTACGTCAGGGGATCCGGCTCCCTTCTTCTCTGGTTGTGTGTGTGTGCATGTTCTTGTGTTTTTGAGAGAAACCATGAGAGAAGAGAGTTGTGCGAAGTAGCACAAGGAAGAAGAAAGCGGCGCTGCGCATAGAGGCGGCGCCAACATACCGCACGTGTATATCGTAGACTGAGACTGGCCGCCAAGCTAGCCGCACGACTCCCTCTTTGACATCGTTATGCCTTGTACAATGAGAGGTGCTTAGGGGAGATGCTTAGAGAAATAAATCAGGCTTTTTTTAAGCATCGATGCTTATTTGTACAGAATAGATGCTTAACTAAGCGTCTCTTCTGTAGAAATATGCACCGGTGTTTCAGAAAAAACCCGGTTTATTTTTCTAAGCATCTTTTTTTTTCATTCATATCATAAAGATTAAAGTACAAGTCACGTAAGGACCGACATGACAAAACTGAAAAGATAGCAGAACATCTCTGAGCTTGACACCAACGTCCATCACCTGCCTCCGGCATCACGACAGCAGCCACTGAAGAAAAGAATGATGGATCACCTCCTCACCCGAGCTCGACGCGGCTCCATTGCTGATATGCAGCTTTGCAGACCTCCAAGGTGGCTCACCAAAAGTGAAGCCCTTATCGTTGAACGAATCAGACCGGGGCAACACCTCGGACACGCCATCGAACTCCAGATCTGGCACCCCACCGACTAAGACGTCGCGGAAGAAAACCATACCTACCATCCACGAACCACGAACCCAACATATGTTTAGTCTTCCAGATGTCATCAATGCAGACCACAATCTGCATCCGCTCCTGCACTACCTCCCAACTCCACGCCGACGCTGGAGCAAACGCCGTCGCAACGGCGGAGCCCGAGGACACAGGTCCACCACGAGGATGCCGCCGCCGCTACGCCATCCTTGCTTGAACAGACTGGTTTCCAAATCCATCCCCAACTATAGGACCAATGGCCTTGTCAAGGAAAGATTTGAAGAATCTTTATTCAGTGTTGTCATCGTCGCCGCCGAAACAAAGACGATGAACAGCCTAAAGATCTAAACTACGAGGAAGTAAAAATGATCCACATGCGTGGATCCGGCGACCCCCTCACCACCGACGACCGAGGTCGCCGGCGGAGGGGAGCCGCCAGAGGATGGCGCTGGAAGATTGGGTCTCCTGGCGGCGGCTAGGGTTCCAGCCGCCAGGGACAGTTCTAAGCATCTCTCTAAGCATCTCCCATTGTACAAGGCTTTACTGGACTGCGTACACGCGCTCACCGTGATGCCCCCGCGCCATGGTGACCTCCGCGGCCCAGCGACCTCGTGCTGGCCCACGCGAAGGAGACCCGGCGGCGGCCGCGGTGCTGCCTCCCTGCGACGGCGTCACGGCGGCTTCCTTGCCATTCGAAGCTGCTGTTTCGCTGTAGAGCAAAAACGTTGGTGTTTTGCTGTAACTGAATGAATGGGATGTACAAATAAGTCCTTGTTGTTTTGCTGCATCTGAATGAAAGTGGATGTGCAGAAAATACTTGAATGGATACAAGAAATCTTTGCTCTTTTGCTATTGCTGTACATACTGAAATTGCAGATTTACAGAAAGAATGTGAATTGGTTCCAGAATACGTCTTGTCTGTATCTATGGTGAGCTGAACTTTCTGCTATTGTCTGCGACAAATTCAGGACACAGGAGGCTCACACTCAGATGGGTGCATTTGATTAATTAGATAGTCCATGCCATGCACTCAAGGACATAAGCAGGCAATCATTTCAACATCACCTCTATGCAATAAACTGGAGCAAAAAACATGAAACAAGATTCTTGCACTGCAGTTCGAAATTCCACCATGGCCATTTTGATGAATATTTAGACATAAATATTCTGAAGAAATACAATATTCAGACATAAATATTCAGAAAGAAAATGATAATCTCCTAGCAAATATTGGCAGAAAGGTCATCTAAAATTCATCCAACACTAGCAATGTGTCCGTGCATTGCAACAGATCCAAATTAGAATAATACTTGTTCACATACTTGAGAGAAAACACTCTTGTTTCACTCAAAATATATTCTTCGGACTGTTTTGATACGGTGAGGGAGGGATGTGGTTGGTTTCAAAATACTAAGGGGTTTTCTGCAAATTAAAGCAGAGAAGTGAGCTATTGTTGCAAAAAGGCCACTACTTACCTCAGTCGTTAGATGCAGATTTAATTGTCAGAAATGATGAATGGCAGACACATCATCATCACCAACTGAGTCTTTTATAGGAGTAGAGACATGAGCGTCAACACCAAGTTGTCGTTAAGAAGTGCATCATAAGATTTCAGAAAATGAGAAGATTGGTCGAGCTTGAACAACACCTGCAGTTTGACATAAATAGATAAGTTTGTGTGTGTGTGTATACATTTTTTTAAAAGGAAAGTAAATTGTATGGGCATGTGCACAAAGGATCGGTGACACGTTGCTTATTACGAGTAGTAGTGATGCGTGCTCCGAAAGGCGAGTCACGACTGGCATAGAGGAATGGCTCATGGGCGTGGCCGGCGGAGGGTGTGGGATCACAGACAAGGCTGGCGGAGGGCGGGGGTCATGGTCGAGGCCGATGGAGGGCTAGCGCTGCTGGACGCGATGGGGTGGTCGTCGCAGAGCTAGGGCACATGATGATCGGCGGCGGTGCAGGACTAGACTCCATGGCGGCGCAGATTGAGCACAATTCGTTTTCCTTTTTTCTTTTGTTGAATCATTAAGCTACTAGTCCCTCCTTTTCGGTTTATAGGGCTCAATTAAAAAATCTGATCACCTACTTTGAATATAATTGAGCGAAACAGACACTTGGGATGACAGTAATATGCAATGCACCTAGTAGGTCTTCATACTTTGATCGGTCCCTGTTATCGGATTAAGGCTTAAACTCTACCATGCCATGACCAACGCTTTATCCTCCTCCGAGGAGAAATTGCTCCCCCCTTCTTTTTTTGGAAGCAAAATCCTCCTCCTCAAGTGGAGTGGACAAAGACATGTCATCTATGCTTACCAGCCCATTCATCATCCCCATATATGATTGTTGACTACATTACCATAATTACAAAAAGCAGTGAGTCATGCAAATTTTCATGCAAAATTATTACTGTGTGTTGTACAAAAAACAAATGAAAACCATATTTTTCACCTTTCATTTGTTTCCATTGGCGTTGTACATGTCAGTCATCATCGTCCTCGCGGAAGGTCTGCGGAATCTGGTCTAAAGTGGAACAGAGTCGAGATTTTTTTTTTTACATCAGAACAGGGTCGAAATTGACCGGGATCTCTACCAATTTGACATTTTAGAAGGTCATGGTTAGAGTTGGACGGGCCGTACGAGTTCAAGCCAAGATACCCATGTGTACACCAGGATATCGTATAGAAATCAGCTTACCCCTTTGCATATGCTATACCTGTATGCTGTTTTCGTCCCAGAATATTACAAACTCAAGTTATATACAAGGACCTGTTCCACTATACAAGTGGCATGTGCAGATCAGTCGAGCAAATCTTGCTATACAGGAGTGCCCCACCAAAGAATAGGGGAAGAATCTTGTCTATCTATCTATATCTCTATGCAGATCAACTCGAGGTAAGTTTCTTGCTGTTCCTAACTAGCAGGTCTCCGCTTGCTGCCCAGCGTTTTGGCTGGGTTAGTTTTAGCGATCTGACAGAACGGAATCGCTCCACGAAAGCATGAAATCGCGCGCGACCGATGGCAAATCTGCGCAGGAGAGTACGATAGACATGTGAATCGGTAAGCAGGGAGAAATGTTTCGGCGGATGACAAGAGCAAGAAAAATCGAGTTTGATCGACTTACCTTGGAGAACCTCAAGAGCAACCGAAGGTATATCTATCTGATCTTCCACCAGCTTGTATACATCAACAAGCTGCAAAGGAGAAACAAGTTGCGGTAATCCATCATCAAGAAATTTATATTTTATGGCTAATTTTAACATGGTCCCTCTTACCTCACATGTGAGTTAAGAAGGTAAGAGTTACAAATATCCACTACTAAATGAAATCAACGGCTCAAATCTACAGAAACCTTATCTGGCAAACTGCCCCTGAACCGCACGATCTCCGTCCGATGGGTGGCAGTTTTCGCAAAAACAAAAACAAAAAACTTAAAATGAAGGAACTGCCATGGCAGTTTTGCAAAATGCCACCCCAGCTCACCCAATACACACAAAAATGCCATCTGGGGGGTTCGCAACTGCCACCCTAGCTGGCGAACGTTCGCTAGCTATGGGGATCCCAAATCTATTATATACTCTTACATCTCAGGTGAAAAGAGGAGGTAAGAGGGACCATGTTAAAAAGTACCTCATCCACGTGCAACCTGGAGTCCTCGGTGAAAGCCATTACAAGTTGTCTCCTGATCCCAGAATCAATAAGGAACAGCCGTGCTCCATCTTTTATTGTGTCAGTGAGATCCAGTTTCTTCTCCAGTTTTTGGCTCGACACAGTTTGCCTGCAGTACGAAAGATCAGAATACTTGCAGGAACAGCTAGACAGATAAAGCATGACAGAAACAGTGGGTTCAATACTCACAGGCTATTGCTCTTCAGTGCAGGATTGGTACTCATCTTTGACACGTTTTCCTTGGCAAGAACTATAAGGTTTTCTAGTCGTTTCCACTGGAACAATCCATCTTTGAATAACACCTGGCGGGAGATGGTGATAATATCTCAGAAATGTTATAAACAACAACAGTGGCTCCTGCGTATTCGAGAAAATAAAAGCTTGCTGTTTTTTTTTCTGTACCCGTGTACCAATGCTTTTCACATTACCAATTGGGGTCATGTTAAGAGGGTTCTTAGAAATTATAGCATACCTGTATCAGCCGTTCACGGAGAGCAGGATTTGGATCTGTCAAAAGACGGTTTGCTATATACGGATATGCGACCTAAATATGAAGAAACATACAGTGAAGGGCATAAGTAACCAAACAAATGTACACTATTGTTTTCATAACTGAAAAGGTAGCAAATGCCATACCTCAAGGAACTTAAATTCAGGCTTAAGAGTAAAGCAAATTCCTTCTTGTGTCAACAAAGAGCGAATGACCAAAGAAAATCTTTCTGGGATGCGGATAGGGTAATTGTACACGAGCTGATTAAACTTCCCTGTAATTTTCAGTTTCATTCATTAGCAAATGAAGTATATACATGAACATATAGAGCGGTGTTAACACTAAGAATGCATCATTAGGGGAAGCAAAACAAAAAGAATGTTTCAACATTTGTGAGCACCCACAAGGGATGCGTTAAAAAAGTATCATGAACTAATGATCAAGAACATTCACCCCAACAAACATGTAAACTGACAAGATATCAAGCAGACATATATACATTTACGAGCAGGATAAGAATTTAGGAAATAGGGATTACCAGTCACACTCCTGAAATTGAAGTCTGCCAAGCCTTTTCCAGCCGAGTTTTGCCAAATAGCTTCCAGAGCTGGGATAATTGGGGAAACATCTGTTCCACTAGCAAGAAAACCAAGCCTTGTGAAGTCATTTGCCATTTCTGCATAGTCTTCATTTACAGCATGAACTACAGCATCAATCAGGATTTCTTTGTTTTGCTGCATATATGAGAAACAGTGACAATAAAAAAATGTAAGTAATTTCTTATCTGCCAATGCAATAAATCACAAGAATGCATTCAGAATAAGGAAGGTTATCATTTCTTGTCTCTTGATAAGACTTATTTTGTAAGTAGCCGACGTACATTTTGACCACCTAAGTGAACAGTTCTTCCTACTAAAGAATCATTTGTAGTAGGGTATGCATGATAGATTATGGATTATATATTGACAGGCAAGCAAAAATAAGAATCCAATCAATTGCACTCGAAAGACGAATTCTGCCACTGCCAAAGAACCAAAAAAAGTCAGACCTGGCTAAGGACGGCGACATTGCCAAAGTCGACGTAAGCAATACGCCCATCTCGCATCGCAAAAACATTTCCAGGATGTGGATCTCCATGGAAAAGGCCAAATTCAAGCAACTGGCGCAGTGCTGCACTCACTCCAACTGTGAGAAAGCCTTCTACATCAATCCCAGCCTCTTTTATAGCCTGAGGGAATAAATTGAAAACTCAACGATGCTACAAATTTTAAATGAACTAATCCACCTTAGAAATAAGTAAAGGTTGATATGATGAATTCTACAAACCTGTGGATCAGTGCATCTGATTCCATCTATCCATTCCATCACCAAAACACGAGAACCTGAAAACTTATTATATACTAGAGGGATCTTCACAGTTGGATCATTCTTAAAATTTACTATGAAGTCCTCGATGTTTCTAGCTTCCTAATTGTGCAGAAAAGAAAGGTCGTCAACTCCCATTCAGGCATTCATCACCAAAATAAAAATTGAAACATAAAAACTGTGTTGCTGGAATGAAAACACCTATAGTATCTTAATGACACATAAAAGGTTGCAATACCTCCGTGCAAGGAAATAAGAAGGTTTTTGATACTGCACTTGTTATGCCTTCGGTTTTTAAATTAATTAAGATTTCCTATTTACTGCACTCGTGCATTGTAGGTGCAGTACAAACAGTGAACTTAAAAAAAATGCTGAACAATTGGTTGGTTATTGCACTGAAAGGCTGCATTAATCAGAACATACAAGCCACTGCCATGTCCTCCAGAAATAACAAGCAAGCACATCCATTGATACTTATGAGTTTTCCACATCAGAGTGGGTAAGTGCTTAGTACTACATGTACCATCTGAAGCATTTATCATATTTTCCATTCATTGGGTGCATCCAAAATTATAATTTGTTGCTTTGTTAGTGAAAACAGTGAAAGATCGTGATTATGATGTGAACGATCATGATTATGGTATGAACAAAAGGAGTATTGGTAGATTAACCATTCTGTGTGCTACCAACATCTATTCATGTGCCAATATTTTCTTCAAACATGCACGCACCATTTGTATGATACTCCCTCTGTCCCAAAATATAAGAACGTTTTTAACACTACACTAGTATCAAAAACGTTCTTATATTATGGGACGGAGGGAGTACAATATATCTCTAGCTATTAAGGCACTAAAAATTCTGATCATTTTTTAACTACTCACAAAAAGGCATCCCAGAACTATTCTACAAATTATACATTACATATGCTTCTGTAATTTTCATACACAATACATCACTACTCGTTTTATTTTTGCGGCAATACATCACTACTGATGAGAAGTTACTTTTATTTCGAAGTGTTAGAAGAGCTTCATGCACCTTTGAGCCATTTAGGAAACAGAACATCTTTGAACTATTAAAGGCATGAGTGTTCACATATATACATGATCACTTAATTTTAAAATATATCAAAAATATCAACTTGAAATTCTCGCTGAAACATGCGGGCCTGACCCTAGTGATTCATTATTCTGCAACTTGACATCAACAAGAAAAAGGCACAAAGAAAATACTCACAAGAGTGTAATCAAGCTCTTCCAAAAGTTTTTCACCGAATTCATCAACAATAAGCTCTGCATTGCAGCCTAGTTTTTGAAGGCTAATCCCATTCAAAAAGGAAGCCAAAGTGCGGAAAAGGAACAGATCTCGGAATATTATTGGCTCAATCCCTGGCCTCTGAACCTGTAGTATGATTGAAACCAAAGAGATAAGCATAAAATGAACTCATTCAGTTTACAAGCCAAATAGATGGTTTATGAATTTAGCAAAAAGTAAAAGATAATTGTGGTAGTTATTAAGTTTCTTGCATCAACTAGTACGGCAATCCACATACACCTCAAACACCCCCTCTCATGTGTGGCTCAAATCAATAAGGCCTAAACATGGACACAAATAGGGCAGGCAATTTTTTATATTTAAATACCGAAAGCCCAGACTTGAACCCAAGACCTTTAGGATCTGATACTATATCAAGTTTCATGCACCAGCCAGTAGAACCAAAAATCCAAACTGACAGAGAAGGTTGGGCAATCCACATATACTTCAATAGTAGTATCAACATCTGGACATTCTGATTCTACTAGAGTATATATAAGCATTTTCATGAATGATGCAGGCTATAAAGGACACAAATTTCATCAGGGAGAAGGGGATAGACTATGTTTATAGTCATGTTTGTTAAAGAACCCCACTAAATGGTGCATCAAGTCACAAACGTCAGAGTATCCCAAGTAAGAAAAGAAAATGAAAGGAACACGAACCTTGATAGCAACATCATCACCGGTTTCTCTTAGAGTGGCACGGTAAACTTGGCCCAGACTTGCAGCTGCTATTGTCTCTGATGAAATTTTGCTGAATAGTTGTTCTAGAGGCTGGCCAAGTTCTTCCTCAATTATGGAAAAGGCCACCTACCAGGTATACAGCAATAAGCAAAGCTTAGTTAATCATCCTGATTTCATGAGCGTTTTCCACAATATGTGTCCACTGTCTAGAACAATTTGTAAAAGCATTCGACTGCAACCGTGTACCTGGTTAGCAAATGGAGGAACGTCATCTTGTAGGATACACAGTTCGCTCATATAATCCTCGCGAATAATATCAGGCCTATTAGCTAGAACCTGAAAAAATAATGTAACTAGACAATGTTGGAATTGTAAGACAGAACAGATAGCACAAGTGAAGTCTTATTTTTCTTCAATGAGATTAATCAGAAAGGGAAAAGAATTTAACCTGTCCTGCTTTTATGAATGACGGCCCGAGATCACATAAAAGATTGCGGAGCTGGCGGGCGCGGAATGGAACAATTTCTTCATCCCGTCCAACCAAGTAGTCATACACCAGAGATGACCAATAAAATCCTAGTTTCCAAATGATCTCCACTCCCCGACTAGCGAGGGATAGTACAGATCCACTTGATCCCAAGACTTTACTCCTGACCTATCGATTATGGAAATGGGCATAGTTAAAACCAAATTTCAACAAACCAACCTTGTAAACACAAATGCTCGTAGTGCGCCATACCATTTCTGGGGAGTACTTTCGGAAAGGCACGCAGACACCACGCTCGATATCAAGTTGCTCCAGTGCACTGTTGGGCTTTTTGCTGGGCATGCCTTTCGCAGCTGCGCCATTAGTTTGCGTGGGTAGGGTCCGAGAAGAGAGCGGGGCATTAGTTGATGCAGCATTGATGACATAGAGTGAAGATCGCTTTGTCCTTTTGGAAATACAGGATCTTGAACCGGCATATCGAGTATATGGCACTTGCCGGCTAGACATTGATAGACTGGGGCGATGCGGTGAAATAGATACAGAAGCTGTGCAGAGCTCCATGCTGAAAGTGCTATAAGCGATGATATCTGCGGAAAGGCAGGAAGCTGCATCAGTTATACTTCAATTCCTACATACTAGTATGCAGCACAAGTAACAGCCATATTTTACTTTCTAAATTTGAACTGCAAACCAGAGTTCTGAAGGTCACCTTTTGAGCTGTTTTTGATAGATATAAGCTGTTTTAATAGATATAGGGAGAAGGCAGTTTTAATCAACCCAAAGCGGTAAACACACAAACCCCATGTTTCTAACCTATATTAGATATGCAATCCCCAATTCCTCTGTCCCGCGTACTACAATCACAAGAGAATTCTCCCCATGCTATCACACAGGTTACTTGCAGAAGCCAATAATAATCTCAGGGCAGCGGAAAATTCGGGGAAACGACTGTTGACCAAAACTAGCCAACCAAATCAAACTCACCTAGAACAGACTGAGAAGCTGCTACTGATACTATGGACCTAATTCTACACGCGCGCACACGAATCACCGTCCTCAAATGGTCCTAGAAACAACCACAACGAACCCGCGAAAACCAGGGCAGAATCCAGGCGAGGAACGGCTGCGAGAAGACGATACCGCAAGAATCGGCGGGGGTTCGGAGCCTCACCTTGTCTTCCGGCGAACTTTCGCCGTGGGGTTCGGGATTCGGTGAGCCCTCCGAGGCGAGCCGGGGCGTTGTGTACCGACTCCTCCTTTCGATTTGGGCGGGGAAGAAGCGCGTGCTCTTTTGTGGTGCCGAGCCAGCCGTGGCAGCGGTGGTGACGGACACAATGGTGAGAGAGTGTAGATAACTGCTCACCGTGGCCATCCAATGTTAGCGCTGGCTGCCTAGCACGGCCACGTCGGCTCTCAAGGTGTGTCTCCAAACTGGAAACTTTGCTATCCACAAGTACGGAACGTGGTCACCTGTCCATGGAAAAAATCCTAAAATACGGGTGATAAGATGAAGGAAAACAGCTACCAACCAGGTAATTGACGTCTTAGAAGTTACTCCCTCCGTTCTGAAATAGATGACTAAACTTTGTACTAACTTTAGTATAAAATTGGGTCATCTATTTTGAAACAGAGGAAGTAGAACACAAGTACAGTACACAACAAGATAAACTGCAATTAATTTTATAATAAAAAAATTTCTGAAACAAGGCAAAAGACATACTACCAATTTTATGGATTAAGAAGAGAGCAAGAGTTTGCCCGGTAATTGATGGAAAACCGGACTAAAGTTGTTGCACCCAGTCCACAACATAGTCAATGTGGACGCCGACATGGAACACAAAGCAACAAAGAAGAAATGATATCCGCCGAGGAGTCGCAAGCGTCATCGTCATCATCGGTTGCCTTTGAGCAAGCAACTCTAACTTCACCAAAGAGCTCCACCATCAAAGCCAATCTGCACATAGTTACACAGAAATCACGACATCACATGCGTCTACCGTGCCCACCACAAACAACCATCGAGTGCTTATCATCTTCATCACCTGGACTCGCTTCACCGCAGCTCCACTTCAAAGCAATCAGGCAACCCATAGAAGAGCACTCAGGCACGCTGAGACTATTAAAAGCCGAGCCGCGACCCAAGCTCCTCTCAACGAGCATTGTTGCCAAACAACAATTAAGGAACGCATGCCTTGATGCCAAGAATGATGAACGTCGACACAACTCAATTGTTAATCTTTGTACTGTTCTAACTAACAATGACCAGCTGCTTCACTACGGGGCTAAAACTTCCCAGCCGAAATCCCCTGAAACACCACTGCCCTGAGCTAGCGGGGATCATGGCCTGCCGGAAGGTGGCGCTCCTAGCCATGCAAACCGGTGTCCCGCGACTATTCCCTCTATCCTGAAGCATGAACGTCCATTCCTTCACACGGGGGATGCCATTCGCGTTGTTTCTCAAAATAAAAGTTAACGAACGATCTAATTTTAAATTACAATTATGATTTACTCCTGCCGGCGTGCTCTTTCTCTCGTCAGCGACGCATGCGACCAACTAGTGCAGTTGGTGTATATTAAGGATGGGACAATTACGCTCAAGCCCCTAGTTGGAGCACACCCATTTGATTTGCCGCTAGTTTTGAAAAAACTGAATTTATGTTCAAGTGTGTTCGCTTA